CAGGGATTGAACTCAGATCCTTGCATTTGCCAGTCAAGCGCTTATCCTACTGAGCCATCTCCCCGGCCCCTTGGGGGCATTCTCTTAGTCTGTTTTCTCTTGCTATGATAAAATACCCGGGGCTGAATAGCTTATAAAGCAAATAGGCGGCTCACAGTTCTGGTGGCTGGAGAGTCCTAATGAATAGTGCTTTTGTCCTGCAAAGGGCCCCCAGATGTATCACAGCTTGGTGGAGAAGTGGGAGAGGAACCAGTTGCATACAGAAGAAGCCAAGTGTATGATTTGTGTCCAGTTGTCCCCCTAAAAGCCTCATACAACCATGGGACAGACTTCCAGACTTTGTGATTAATTCGTGATCCAGTGCTGGGAGTATGGGCGTGAGCGCTGCTGGGATCATGGGTGTAAATGCTGCTGGGATTTTGGGTGTAAATGCTACAGCCAGCCTGGGGCTAATAGCCCAAGTGCAACACAAGGGAGACAGACTTGCCGTCTGTTGCCACCGTTGCTGCTACTCCCCCCTTTTGCACTCTGCTCTCTGCTGCCGCCATGAATGGATGCTCTCTGCCCTGTGCCGCTCTGCCTTAGAGCCATCCAATATGCACTGGAACCTGCAGTAACTGTGAGCTAAATAAACCTTCTCTTCCTTAGTTTTGAGTTTCAGGTATTTGTCCCAACAACGAGAAAATAACTGAGACGCCAAGGCTCAGGGTGGCCTCCCTTTATGGCAGTCTTTTCTCGTGGCGCTACTCTAGTCCCCCAAGAGCTAGGACTCCCACAAGACAGCCTTAATGCAGCCACGCCGGTGCTGCTTCGTGGCCTCCTTACCTCCTGCTGGGCCTGACCCCTGAGAGCTGTCCCCATCTCCTAGCATGCGCACTCTGGGTACTCCCGCCGTGGGGTGCAACAACCCATCCACAGCAGGCAGAAAGACCTTGGCCCCCCACTGGAACTAGAGGTGTGTTTAGTAAATACACTGTTCAGTGACCCCATTACAGTCTCCTCACAACGTGTAACGTGGCTTTGCTGGACTAGTGAGTGGTAACAGTGAGACCCTTCTCACTGCCCACACGGCACACGTGGCCATCCTTGGTCACCCCACCGCCCCCACCTCTGCTTTTCTCTGTGACTAGCGAAGGCCTTGTTTTTGTGCCAAGAGCACTTCAGCAGTCTGATAAGGGAAATGCCCTCTTTTCAGGATCTTTTAAAACTCTAAAAGAGGCACAACATCAAATCGGCTGTTTTGACCAATTTTAACTATACAGTTAGGTCAGTGGGGTTATTGGCATTCACGGAGTTAGGCAATCATTGCCACTGTTTATTTGCAAAAGTTTTTCACCCACTCAAACAGAAACTCTGTACCCATTAAGCAACAATTCTCCATTTTTCCATCCTCTACCCCAACCCCAGAAACTCTCTTCTACTTGCTGTTTCTGTGCCTCTGCCTGGTCTAGATCCTGAATGAATAAGAATCACATTTCTATTTATGGCTGAATAAAAATCTGTTATGTTATATATGCATTTCTCTGTTTATTTGCTAATGGACACTTTGTTTCTATCTTTTTGGCTGCTGGGAATAATGACTATTGTAGAAGTCTTTTTGAAACACTGTTTTCAATTTGTGTGTGTGTGTGTGTGTGTGTGTGTGGCCAGCTCAGCTCACCAGGGGGCGTCCTGGCTGGCATGTGGTGCTGGGGATTGAACCACGGTCCCTCTGCTTTGCTGAGCTTGTTCTAAGTAGGTGCTTTAGACCACTGAGCCATCTCACCAGCCCCTGGTACCAGGGTTCTTGCATTTGCCTAAACTTGCCTAAACCGGTGCTTTAG